GGCAGCGGCGGGGAGGGAGAGGGGCGGGGAGGGGGGCCGGAGGAGAGGGAGCGGCAGGGGCCCGCCCATCGCCCGCGCGAGGGGGGCGGGAGGGGGGCGAGTGGGCGGACGGGAACGCGGGGGATGGAACCCTAGCCTAGGTCGCGGGAGAGATTCGATTCAGTGGGAGAACTCCCTCCATGCGAGGAACTGTTGCAAAGTGAGGATTTTTTTTAACCCCTTGGGAAGGCGATCTACCCATCATCGACCATCCAAAACCTTGTTGACTACATCAACAAACCATTCGAACTTGACTGAGCGGTGTATTGCGATGCTTTGGTACGTACCAAATCATGTATTGTTACCAAAAGACCCATATTTTCAAACGTCGACTCTAGCCGGGTATTAGCCCAGGTAAATTGATGTCCAGAAATATCTCAGGTAGATCCAAATTGTCAATGGCAATGCTGAATAAGAAAGAACTGTAAAACTAATTATTTTATCGTTGCTGAAACCATAGGATGTTGAATTCCCCACCCATGAACAATGAATATAGAATTTCTTTAGCAGGATTGACCGGTTCACCAAGAAAAGATAGTTTATGATCGTCTTGAGTAGCTTCGTAAACTGCGACCAAACTACATACAAAATTTACGGCTTGATTACGAAGATGAAACTTTTTTCTAAAACTCTTGATCCAAAATGGTCAAAAAATCCAACGAAGTAGATTGGACACTTAGTAGTTTACCACGTAACATTAGTCAAAGCCATGCGAGTGGTAATCGTGAACATGCAATCCAAAATGATGGACCCATATACAATCGCTAAATGAGCACAAAATAGTTTGTTCATTCACTCATATGCACATAATGGAGGTATGTAAGGTCTGATGTACTACAGCTCATAGGAAAAGCATCCTCTTGATGACTAATCCAATATTGATGAGTAATCCTCATGATGTACTGTAGCACCACATCTTATTTATCCTCATCGGCTTATTTCTAGGGCACGGTTAATTCTCACAAAGAGAAGATTAACCCTTCCAGCACTGAGATTTTTCTTCCAGAACACGCACAAGTGATGTGCTTTATTTATTGTTATTAATAAGGCAGAGAAAGGTTTCTCTGTCACACACAACATAAAAGGTACTGTAGATCATAAAGGTTTCATTAGACGGTGGCAGGGAGCTCCCCACCCATGCTACCAGTGGGGTCTTGAACCTCCCCACCCATGCCACCAGTGGGGCCTTCAACATCCCCACCGATGCCACCGAGGCCTTGAACTGGCAGGTCGGTGTGCTCTTCAAAGGGGAATGGATCCAGTTTTGGCTGCGCTGCTTGTAGGATCATTTCAATCGTCAGTTCTGGCCCTGATCTTTGCAAAGGCGCCACTGGATCAACACATGGGTCATGAGGCTGAAAAGAATCAAATTGCATTATTGTAATAGGCCGGTGCAAATCAACAAATTAATGATTCCTCTGTTTAATTTTTGACATGCATGAACAAGGGGTTGTGGCACTAACCAGGTTGGCATGCATTCTGTCAACAAAGGTCTTGAAATTGACATAGTTTTGTCCCTCCACCAACTGATTCAACAGCCGGAGGTAGGTGAATCCAAACAGCTTGTGCTCAGGAGGGCCGCTCTTGTTGATGCCATGAGGCCTTGCATTCCTGAGTATGGTGTTGTAAGCAGTTGGATCATATCGAGGAAGTGCATTTTCGCATGCCATATTTAGGCCCTCTCTCCATCCAGCACTCAACACCTGAGAATTTCGACGACAAGTACGTTAGATGTGTCTATCAGAGATGTCTAAGCGTAAACTGTGGAGGCACAAGCTACCTACCTGTTGGACTAGTTCTTCCGGTGCGCTCATGGCCTGTGAGCTTTGCTCCGAGTCCCTCATCTCGGCGCAAGTGAAGTTAAGACTAGCACGGTGCCTTTTGAGCATGCGTGCTATGGGTCTGTAGCCATCTCTATCATGTAAGTTGTAGTACCCAGCTGTGATCTCGGCTGCATGGCTTGGAACCTTGTACCACCAGTGAATGCCAGAGATCTGCAACCAAACATTTGGCCATGTCTCATTTACATTCTAGATTAAGAAATGCAAGTTCCTTTAGCCTAGAGTGTTAGAATGAATTTGTGTACTTTTTGTTGTTGTTGTTGTTGTTGTTTATCATACACTACTTCTCAACTGAATCATGGTTTCTCAAATCCTATCTACTATTGTAAGAAACTGAGATATTTAGGATGATGGTACTTACTTTGATTGCCAGTTGCACTCTGTGTCCCAAGAAGACCTTGTTTGCTTCGTCCAAGATCTTGTCACCGTGCTTGATCAGGTTATTGGAGTACCATGCAAGGAAAAACCTCCCCTGCTCAGTGAGATATGTTCCGTTGTCCACGAAGAATCGAGTTCTCTGGGGAGTGTCATTGTACTGTCCGGCATCGCGAGGAAATTCCCACTCAGGATGGCCAACCATCGCTGCTGCTGCTTTGAAGTCTGCTTGCAGGTACTTATCATAGCACTGCGGATTTTTTTTAATTTGTACTATTAGTTAAAACAGTTAAATGGAGTCCTTTTGTCTTTAATGGTGATGGTATAGATTATTTTACTTTTTTTAATTATTTCATGTCATCTATTTTTAGATGGCCTTGTCTTTGCTTATGATACT